GATTGAGGTTGCAGCCAAGTTCTGTGACTTGTTTAATCATTCTCATCAAGTGGCCTTGACTCATCTGTTCATACAGCCTTTCAACAAATGTTTCTGAGCAGCACTGCTGGCCGGATTCACTGGCGCCCAGACGGTGCCTTCCCGCTTCCCCAGAGGAAGGCTGCTGCACGGACACTGAGAACAGGCTGACCCCCGGGCAGCAGCCTCACGCCCGGGCAGAGCCCGTCTGTGGCAGCCGACTGGGTCCCACAGGTGTTAGATCAGGGTCCTGGGTTGTCAGTGAAAAAGGACAGAAACTGCCCCCTCCGCCGCGGGCACACTGAGGGGGCCTGGGACAGCGGTGGCAGGAGTCCATCCTGGGAGGCGGGGCTTGGCCTCCGTGGGGCGTTCCCTGCCTTTCCTGGGCCTCAGCACAGTTGGCCAGGCTCTTCCCCAGAGCCCCAAACCCCAAACTGCCTGTGAACCTGGGTGGGAAAATTAACGTTCATTTTCACCAACCTCTAACCGAAATGTAGCATTTCCTCTAGTTATACATGTAGGGGAAACCACCACACCCAAGGCTGGTCACCAGTGAAATCTGTTCTCCTCGCGTCCGTCGCAGGTGCGGCGGTGCCTGCAGGAGTGCGCGCTCGCCAGTCCGGCAGCCGGCCCACCCCGCTGCTGCAGGGCCGCGCCGCCCAGTCAGGACGGAAGCACGTCCATCCATCATTATTTTGGTTTTCTTAAACATATTTTGATCATTTTAATATTGATAACATCTTTTGTAATTTGAATGTTTTATTTTCTGCATTGAAACCATATATTCTGAGAAGGGGCCCAGGAGTCACCAGGGGTGCAGAAAAGTTTCGGAGAATAGGTTCTCTTCCGAGACCCCCGTCGCAGCCCAGCGCCCGGCCCCTCCCCACGCAGGCTCGTCTGCCCCACGCTGCCTGCGCCCTGGGCCCCGAGACCAGTCACCCCGCCTTTCCCACCCACACCCCAGCTTTTCCAGCTGCTTTGGTCCAGGCAGAGGGAGGAGTGGGTGGAGGGGTGACGCTGACCTCTTCCTTTCTCATTCTGTTTCTGAAGGGGTGTCCAGAAGACAAGGTGACGCGGACAAGCAGTAGGGTCTCCCTGGCTGGACAGGAGCACAGGCCAGTTCCATGTTGTTTCAAAGTCAATGCCAACTGCATTGCCTCCTCACTTCCGTGCGCACGGGCTCCTGCGACACCAGAGGCGTCCCCTCCGTGTCCCCGGAGGCCCAGGTAACTGTTCTTCAAGTTTTAATTACTATCCAATCAGGGTAAATGTCCAGTTAGCGAGAGTAACTTTCAGATTGGGTTATATTAGCACAAGGTACATTTCACATTTTTTCCTACCAATGCGGTCGCCGTGTTTGCGCGGTTCCGCAGCGGTGGGAGCTGCTGCAAACGGTCCCGCACACGCACGTTCGCGGCACAGATCGTGTCCTCGTAAATTTCACCAACTTGACTGTACCTAGGGACATTTTCTTTTTTTTTCTAAAATAAACTGGCATAAAAATTTATATGTGCAAGAGAACAAGGGTGCTTGTGAGAAAAGCTCTGCTTTTGCTCCACTGAGGCCCAGCCGATTACTGAGAACAGCGCGTGCGGATTTGGGCGTGGGGACGCTCTGGCCCACAGGCACACGCAACCGTGCCCACTGGGCTAGCGCGCGATTCGCTCCAAACGGAGCCACGGAGACATCATTGGAAATTTGGCGACAAATGCTGGGGACAGCCTACGGAGGCGCCTCTGCAGGCATCTCGGAAAGAGCAGCAGACCCTCCAGACAGACCCCCAGCAGAGCCCGTCCCTGCTGCCCGCCCCGCCCACCACGCTCGCCACGCCCACCACACCTGCAGCCCACCACGTCCACCACGCCCCCACCAGGCTTCAGGGTGAGCCGGTAGCCCTGGGCAGGAGTGGCTAGTTTAGAAATCCAGTCTTCAGTCTCTAAATGTGCCTCTGAAATTTCCTGTGACCTAGAATCATCTTTAAAAAATTTTTCTTTTCCTTTATTGACTTTAGAGAGAGGAAGGGAGAGGGAGAGAGAGAGATAGAAACATCGATGAGAGAGAACATCTATTGGCCGCCTCCTGCGTGCCCCCCACTGGAGATGGGCCCACAACCTGGGCATGTGCCCTGACTGGGAATTGAACCGCGACCTCTTGGTGCAGGGTGGACGCTCAACCACTGAGCCACAGCAGCCTGAAGGTCCGTGTCCTTAACTGGGAATCAAACCCATGGCTCTTTGGTCGGAGGGCTGGTGCTCTAACCATCAGGCCACGCTGGCCAATGACCTAGAATCATCCTAAAAGCCTGCCTGTAAAGCCCCTTCCTGGTAGCCAGGGGTGGCCCCCCCAAACAAGCAGGCAAGAGCAACAGGGGCAGTTCCCCCTCATGCCAGAGAGAGGAACACAGAGCTGGGAAATCACTCACTACGAAAAAATTACATCCTTGCCAAGTCTGATTCTTGGGGACAAGAAGCCAGTATTACCCCATGTGATTAGCTATGAGGCAGGAGCCCCGTGTCCTTCAGGCAGAGCGGGAGCAGCTGCAGCTGGGAGGTGGTCTGCAGGTCTGGGGGTCCTCAGCTTCCTGGGTCCCTGGGTCTCTAATCACAGGTGCTGCAACTCTGAGAAATGCAACTAGAGGCCACTAGAAAATGAATTCTTATTAATTCACAGAGATCCTTCTATATCTCTCTCCTGAAAAATAGTTTTAGTTCACAGTCAGAAAAAGGGCAGGACAGCTGCTCCAAGCACCAATTTAATGGGGGGGGGGGGTAAATATAAATCAAAAGAAAAGTGTGGGTCCCAGGTACCCCTTGAGTGAGAACCACAGGTGGTAGGTTGGTCCCCACCTTTGCACTGTCCCTCAGGATCTGAGCTCACTCGGGGGGTCTCCAGGATTCAGTTTGGTGGAAGGCTGACTTCCTCTCTGTCTGTGGGTCTCCCTCATTGGATCTCCCTCATCGGGCAATGTGGGTCTCCAGAGAGCAACTCATTGAAGAAAGACTTATTCCTCATGTGACCTGAGAGAGACAGAGACAGAGAGAGAGCCACAGAGAACACAGGTCAGAGTGAGCACGTGGCTAGGCACTGACGTTTTATAGCCAAGTCATGGAAGTGATGTCAGGTCACTTTGCCATCTGCTACAGAGTCACTAATGACATCCGCACGTAAGGGGAGGGGACACATTCACACTGCGCGAGGAGGCGAAGACCGTGGGGAGTCACTGAGGAGAAGCCATGATCGGAGAGGCCCATGCCTTGCCCAGAATCACAGACTGGTCAGAATGCAGAGCCTGAGACAAACCCAGCCGTATGTCCTCAAAGTTGGGGTCCTAGCAGCACCCAGGTTTTCTCAGGGGCTCTGGAAAAGGCTGTGCTGCTGGAATCATGGACAGACATGGAGAGGGCATGGGGAGATGGTGAGCATTCTGTGACCTAGACGGGCATTTGGCCAGTATTTGTCTGAAAAGGAGCGCAGATTGGAAGCTCGGAGGAGCACCTCTGTCCACAAGCCACCAGGGTGGAGGGAGCCAGGGCCCCTCTTTACGCTGAGTTTGTGCTTATGCAGTTCTGAATCATACTCTCATTGGATAATTGGGAAACTGAGGCCCATAGAGAGGCAGAAATTGCCGAAGGTACATGACATTCAGAGTCCAGAGTCCAGGAATGTGCAGACCGTCCAGGCCAAGGCTCCCACCTCTCCCAGAGTTGGTTTGGAAATGAGAGATCCTGACGTATGGGGAAGCTCCTGCGATTCCTCCCTGCGTGGGGCTGTTTTGTTCTGGGATCCTGAATGAGCGCACTGGATGTGCGCACACACACACGCACATGCACACATACACCGACACACGTGCACACACTGACACATGCACACACTCACGCACATGAGCACACACATGGACACACGTGAGCACACATTCTAGATGTAATGACTCTGGGTGGGATTGGAAGAAAAGCAGACAAGGGGAGGTGACAATAGGCAGGAAAGAGGGTTGGGGGCATGACCTCCATGTGACAGCCCTCCCCCAACTTTACAGCTTTTATCACACAGGTGCCTGAACATCCCTAAGAAGCAGCTGCTACAACAATCCACTGTGCAGGCAGGAGACAGGCCCTGACAGGCACGGTGACTTATCCAGGATCGAGAGGAGGTAAGAAGGAGGGGTTGAGTCTGACCCCAGGTCTGTCTCCTCAAATCTAGGACCTGGCTGCACCCAGACCTTCAGGGGGTGTGGAGAGGGGTGTGCTGGTGTCACTGTGCACAGATATCATGTTCCATGGAGAAGGGGGTGAGCAGTCAGCGGCCCACAGGGCTGTCTGTAGAGCTGTTATCAGATGAGGGGACTCGGGGAAGGCGATCCCAGGAAGTGAGGTCAGACCACCAGAACTTGGAACCCCCGTAACCTAGCACCCACGATCTACCAACTGCCCAACCGCCAGCTCACTTGGCAAGAGATATTTCACAGTGCGAGATGTTCTCTTGCTGTGTTCCCACACATCGGGGCTCTGGCTTCCGGAGACCCCGCAGTGAGAGTTTTTCCAGACTCTGTAGACGGTGGTTCAACCCTCATCCCCGAGGTCTCTGGCCGTTTTCAAGAAGATCGGCGAAGGTAACACAAGGTGGCCTGGGTCAGACCAATCCAGGCCAGGCCACCTCTGTGAGCCATCCCTGTGCAGCCCACACAGTCTCCTCTTCATGTGGGGGACAGAGGGGCATGAAGGGAGGACCCTCGGGGGCAGGAACAGGTTGCTAGAGGTCCTGTCATGATCACACCCAGGACAGGGCAGGCAGGTGGAGAGGGGCTTCCTGAGGGGCCTCTTTTCTGTGCCTGTGGGAGGCCTAGGCCCTCAGGCTGCAATGACGCCTTTTCCTCCCTTGTGGAGGTCGTGTGTGTGTGTGTGTGTGTGTGTGTGTGTGTGTGGAGTGGAGGGTCACAAGGCTCTGAGACTTTCCGCCTGGTGTTGGGAACTGTATTTCCAGACCTCCACACAGAGGAACGGACAGGAGCTGACAGATGGGGCCACCATCCTGCAGGAGGCACAGGTGCCCCACATGTCCACAGGAGTGGCGCATGGAGCCAGGGTGAGTGTCGGTGACGAGCTGACCCAACTCCAGGAGCCCATGCAGTCAAAGGGGCCCTGGGTTCCAGAAGCTGCCCTGTTACCCCCTGAGATCCCTCCTCAAGTACAATTACCAAAGGAATTGGGGCCCCTGTCTCCTGCCCCCAACCAACTTGCACAATCCAGCCCCTTTCAGACCAGATGGGAAGTCACTGTTGTCAAGTTTTTAGGAATATCAGGAAAGAGCCTTTTGTACCATTTCACTTCATGTTCAGTCCAGAGTATTTTCCATGTTTTTCTGTAGACTTTCCCTATTTTATTATTATTGATTCTATAAATTTTATTATTTTTTTAAAAAACTTATCTTTATTGTTGAGGATGTTACAGATGTTCCCAATTTTTCCCCCATGGGCCCCCTCCACCCCACTCCAGCCCCCTGCCCTTGGCCTTCACTGCACTATTGTCTGAGTCCATGGGTTGTGCATATGTGCATATACATTCTTTGGTTTATCTCTTCCCACCTATTGCTCTGAGAGGCATCAGTCTGTTCCATGCTTCCATGTCTCTGCATCTATTCTGTTCATCAGTTTATTTGTTCATTAGATTCCGCATATAAATGAGATCATGGGGTACTTGTCTTTCTCTGGCTGGCTTATTTCGCTCAGCACAATACTCTCCAGGTCCCTCTGTGCCGTCTCAAAGGATAAAAGATCTTTCTTTCTTACAGCTGCATAGTACTCCATTGTGTATATGTACCACTGCTTTTTCATCCTCTCATCTATTGATGGGCACTTGGACTGTTTCCAGACCTTAGCTATTGTAAATAGTGCTGCTATGAACATGGGGGTACATATATTCTTTCTGATGGGTGTTTCAGGCTTCTTAGGGTATATTCCTAGAAGTGGGATCACTGGATCAAATGAAAGTTCAATTTTTAATTTTTTGAGGTAACACCATATTGTTTTCCATAGTGGCTGCACCAGTCTGCATTCCCACCAGCAGTGTACTAGAGTCCCCTTTTCTCCACACCCTCGCCAACACTTGTTGTTTGATGATTTGTTGATGGCGGCCATTCTGACAGGTGTGAGGTGATACCTCATAGTTGTTTTAATTTGCATCTCTCTGATGATTAGTGATGTTGAGCATTTCTTCATATGTCTCTTGGCCATTTGAATGTCCTGTTTTTCAGTGTCTATTCAGGTCCTCCACCCATCTTTTAATTGGATTGTTTGTCTTCCTTTTGTTAAGTTATATGAGTTATTTATATATTTTGGAAATTAACCTCTTATCAGATGTATCATTGGCAAATATGTTCTCCCATGTAGTGGGATTCCTTTCCATTTTGATGTTGGTTTCTTTTGCTGTGCAGAAGCTTTTAGTTTGATGTAGTCCCATTTATTTATTTTTTCCTTTGCTTCTCTTGCCCAAGGTGATGTATCAGTAAAAATACTGCAAAGTGAGATGCCTGAGATTTTGCTGCCTATGGTTTTTTTCTAGGATTTTTATGGTTTCATGACTTACATTTAAGTCTTTTATCTATTTCTGGTTTATTCTTGTGTATGGTGTAAGTTGATGGTCTAATTTCATTTTTTTTTTTTTTTGCATGTAGCTGTCCAATTTTTCCAATACCATTTATTGAAGAGGCTGTCTTCATTCCATTGTATGCTCTTGCCTCCTTTGTCAAATATTAATTGAGCATATTGCCTTGGGACCATTTCTGGGTTCTCTGTTCTATTCCACTGGTCTATATGCCTGTTCTTGTGCCAGTACCAGGCTGTTTTGATTACAGTGGCTTTGTAGTATAAACTGAAATCTGGTAATGTGATCCCTCCTACTTTGTTCTTCTTTTTCAAGATTGCTGCAGCTATTTGAGGTCTTTTTAGGCTTCATTCAAATTTTTGGAGTATTTGCTCTAGATCTGTGAAATATGTCGTTGGTATTTTTAATAGGGATTGCATTGAACCTATAGATTGCTTTGGGTAGTATGGACATTTTAATGATGTTAATTCTTCCAATCCATGAACAAGGTATGTGCTTCCACTTGTTTGTATCTTCCTCTATTTCTTTTCTCAGTGTCCTGCAGTTTTCTGTGCACAGGTCTTTCACCTTCTTGGTTAAGTTATAGTTTATCTCTAGGCATTTCATTTTTTTGTTGCAATGGTAAATGGGATTTTTTTTTAGTTTCTCTTTCTGAGAGTTCATTATTGTTGTATAAATATGCCATGGATTTCTAGATGTTAATTTTGCATCCTGCTACTTTGCTGAATTCATTTATTAGATCTAGTAGTTTTTGGTGGAGTCTTTAGAATTTTCTTTGTACAATATCAAATCATCTGTGAATAATGACAGTTTCACTTCCTCCTTTCCAATTTGGATCCCTTTTATCTTTTCATCTTCTCTGATTGCTGTGGCTAAAACTTCCAGTACTCTGCTGAATAAGAGTGGCGACAGCAGACATCCCCGTCTTGTTCCTGTTCTTAAAGAAAATACTTCTAGTTTTTGCCCATTGAGTATGATGTTGATTGTAGGTTTATCATATATAGCCATTATTATGTTGAGGTATGATCCCTCTATTCCCACTTTTCTGAGAGTTTTTGTCACAAATGGGTGCTGGGTTTTTGTCAAGTGCTTTTTCTGCAGCTATTGATATGATCATTTGATCTTTACTTTTCATTGTTTTATGTGGTGTATCACATTTACCGATTTGAGAATATTGTACCAGCCTTGCATCCCTGAGATAAATACCATTTGTTTGTGATGAATAATCTTTTTAATATACTGCTGGATCTGATTTGCTAATGTTTTGTTGAGGATTTGGTGTCTGTGCTCATCAGGAATACTGGCCTGTACTTTTATTTCTTTGTTGTATCTTTATCTGGCTTTGGGATTAGGATGTTGCTGCCTCAAAAATAAAAACACTCAAAAATATTCAAACACATGGAGGGTGAATGGCATATTATTAAACAATGGATGGGTTATCATCTATTTTAAAACGAGCTTAGAAATCTTTTTCTTCTTGAATTTTTTGGAAGAGTTTGAGGAGGATAGGTGTTAGTTCTTCTTGGAATGTTTGGTAAAACTCCCCTGTGAAGCTTTCCAGTCCAGTACTTTTGTTTGTTGGTAGTTTTTAAATTTTATTCTTTATTACTGCTTCAATTTTATGAGTTGTTATTAGTCTATTCAGGCTTTCTGATTCTTCCTGATTCCATTTGGGAAGATTGTATGTTTCTAGGAATTTAAACATTTCTCCCAGGTTGTCCTATTTGATGGCATGTAGTTGTTTGTAATATATTCTTACAAGACTTTGTATTTCTGTGGTGTCAGTTGTTACTTCACCTCTTTAACTTTTCATTTTACTTATTTGAGTCCTCTTTGTTTTTTGATTAGCCTGCCTAGAGCTTCACTGATCTTGTTTATCTTTTCAAAGAGCCACCTCCTTACAGAATCCTTTCTATAAAAATGTCTTTGCGAAGAGAAAAAAAAAAGAACCACCTCTTGGTTTCAAATATCTTTTGTATTGTTTTTAGTCTCTATGTCATTTATTTCAGTTCAAGTCAGTTCTGATCAAGTTCAGTTTCTGATCTTTATTATTTCCTTCCTTCTTCTTACTCTGGGCTTTTCTTGTTGTTCTCTTTTTAATACTTTTAATTCTTGGGTTAGCTAGTTTATTAGACATTTTTCTTGTTTCTTGAGATAATCTTATAATGGTGTGAACTTCCCTCTCAGGAAGGTTTTTGCTGTGTCCCATAGATTTGGAGTTGTGTGTTCATTTTAATTTGTTTCCAGGAAGTTTTTTTATTTCTTCCTTAATCTTCTTGGTAACCCATGAATTGTTTAATAACATGCTACTTATCCTCCATGTGTTTGAATGTTTTTGAGTGTTTTTATTGTAGTTGATTTCTGGTTTCATGCCATTGTGATCTGAGAAGCTGCTTGGTATGATTTCTATCTTCTTGAACTTGTAGGGACTTATTTTGTGTTCTAACATGTGGTCTATCTTTGAGAATGTCCCCTGTGCACTTCAGAAGAATGTATATTTTGCAGCTTAGGGATGAAATATTTCATAAATGTTAATGAAATCCATCTAGTTTACTATATCAGTTATAGTGTTTCCTTGTTGATATTTTGTCTGGAAGATCTATCCAGTGAAGTCAGTGGGGTGTTAAAGTCCCCTACTATGACTATATGTTATCAATCACTTCCTTAAAGTCCTCTAAGAGTTTTTCTATACATTTAGGTCCTCCTATATTAGGTGTATATATGTTTACAAGGATTATATCGTCTTGTTGGATTGATCCCTTTAGAATTATGTAGTGACCTTCTTTGTTTACAGACTTTCACTTTTTAAGGCCCATCCTCAAGTGTGCCTGACATCCCTGCACACCTTCTCCCAGTCTTACACATCATTGTGATTACTAGGGATGTTTCACCCAAAAAAGACATGGGGCTCATGGTACCAAGACTGTTGTTTTGCTGTTTGTTGCCCCAAGGACCATATCCTTGTGGCTCCTCCAGACAGGAGCTGGGGCCTCTCTGGGCTGCACAACATACCAAGAGGGTAACCAGTTATTGTGATGATCCTTCTCTTCACTGCTGAGGGACCTGAATGTAATTCCCTTCTGTTTACATTTCAATGGTCCTGCCCTGAACCTCTCACGTGTCCTAATCTCCTGACCCCTCCCACCCCATATTAGAATGTGAAAAGCCTCTGTGTTCCCATATTAGATTGGAATGTGTAGTCAGAAATCCCAGGGGTGACAGTATTAATACAGGAGGTGCTGTGCACCCTCTGCTCAGAAAATGACCCGAGACACTAATGTCTTCACCATCCCTCACCTCCAATTCTACTTCCCTGCCAAGAACCATTTCTCTCCTTCATTTACTCCCATCCCACTTCTTCCACAAGTCACTGAGTGCATGGGGTCTGAGCTGCAGCCACAACCCACCTGGCAGTTCATGAACTGTCTCTGACAGCATGTTCCTCCTCTGTGTCACTCCAGGGGGAGACGTCACCAACCCCGAATAGAAATGAGACCTGTATGACGCAGGCAGCTGCAGCTTCACCATCATCCATGGGTCTGGCCGGTGCGCCCTCTACGCTTAACACACCAGTGCCCGTGAACCTGTTTGCTGCTGGGAAGGCGGACGTCTCCAGCCCCAGCTACGTGCCCAGGTGGTGCAGCCTGATATTGAAGAGACTAGTGGTGTTCAAGGGGCTGGAGAAGGAGCTCATGTCCGTGGTGATTGCTGCTAAGGTGCACGGCTCCAAGCACACCCTGCGGTCCCGTGAGATTGTGCTGTCTCCCAGTGGAGAAGCAGAGACCGACCTGGTCCTGACCCTGTCACTGCCGCACAGCCACTGTTTAAAGGGAAAAAAGAACAATGTACAGATTATGTTGCAGCAGAGGAAGAGCAGGAGCACCCGGGGCTACAAGACGCTGGCCACAGGCGCCATCCACATGGCCGAGGTGGTGCAGCGTGCCCCTGAGGGGGACCACGTGCTGAGCCTCTGCAGCAGTGTGCAGGAGGCCTCCCAGAAGGTCGCCGAGGTCTGGATCTTGTCCCTGTCCAGCCAGCCCATCGGCCAGGAGGACAGCACCATGCAGGCTGGCCCCAAGTCCACGCATAACTGCTCTAGGGAGGAGAATGAGAGCCTCTCGTCTGACAAGGAGGCCAGAGATACAGCGTGCACGGGCCGGACCTGGACCAGGACGACCTCGGCGTGGGGAAGCCCAAGAAACAGCGACGATCGATAGTAAGAATGAAGTCCGTGATCAGGGGAAAAAACTTCAAACAGAGGGTTGTGGCTCAGCTGCACAGGTTCAAAGCGTCGGAGGAGGTGTTGGACACAGAGCAGGATCTTGATGAGCACATCCCCGAGGTGGAGGAGGACTTGGACCTGCTGTATGACATGCTGGAGAACCCCAGTGAGAGTGGTCCCGACACGGAGGAGGATGACAGTGTCCCCAGCACCCCGAAGCCCAGGCTTAGGCCGTATTTTGAAGGCCTGTCGCACTGCAGCTCACAGACGGAGCTCGGGAGCATGCACGGCGCCCAGAGCCAGCAGGAGCCTCTGACCCCACTGATATTCCCGAGAAGATTCGGGCCTCGGGCAGACAACCAAGCGACAGTGTCTCCATCTGTATAGCCCAGGGCACAACCACCCCCAGGGAGCAGCTGGCACAGCCCGAGGACACCCTGGAGGCAGAGTCCTCAGCCCTGGACGTGTTCAGCGGGAAGCGGCCGCTCAGCAGGTGCATCGCCAAGACCAAGTCCCTCGTCATCCTGTCCAGCAGGTCTGAGGGGAAGCAGGCTTGCTGCTGGGGCCGGAGCACGTCCCTGAAGGAGTGGCGGCCAGAACGGCCACAGAACGCGCGGGACAGCAGCCTGGACAGCGAGCGCTGCCCGGACACGTGGAGCCAAGCGCACATCCCCAGGAAGACCATGTACGACCAGCTAAACCATGTTCTCAGCTCCGACGGGCAGCTGCCCGAGAACATCATCCTGGTCAACACCTCCGCCTGGCAGGGGCAGTTCCTGTCGGAGGTCCTGCAGCGGCACATGCTGCCCGTGGTGTGCACCTGCTCTGCGGCCGACCTCCAGGTGGCCTTCGGCACCATCGTCTCGCGGATCCAGAGACACTGCCAGTGCAATTCCCAGCCGCCAAGGCCGGTGAAGATCGCGGTGGCCGGGGCGCAGCAGTACCTCAGCGCCGTGCTGCAGCTCTACGTGGAGCAGCTGTCCCGCAAGATGCCCGAGTGGCAGGGCTACATGTGCTTCCTGGTCATCCCGCTGGGGCCCCACCCCGTGGCCAGGCACCTGGGCTCCGTGGACTACCTCTACAACCAGTACTTCCAGGACCTGGCCTGGCGGGGCCTGTTCAACAAGCTGGAGGCCCAGAGCTCCGTGCAGGACTCGCTGGACATCGTGTGGAGGATCACGCAGTACATCGTGGGGGCCACCTGCGTCCACCAGCTGCCTGTCGTGGAGGCCATGCTCGTCTGCAAGCAGAGGGGCCCCGAAGAGGAGTCCTCTCAGAAGTTCATCCCCTTCGTGGGGCTGGTGAAGGTCGGAATAGTGGAGCCGTCCTCGGCCACGTCGGGAGATGCAGATGCTGCGGCCCCCTCGGGCTCCAGCGAGCTTTGGTCCACCCTGCCGTCCACGTCTCTGGCCGCCAAGGAGGCCTTGCCCGCCCCGGCCCCCTCCCTGTCAGTGAGTGGGGGCCTGTCCTCCCCCAGCCAGGGCGTGGGCACCAAGCTGATGGGGCTGCAGGTGGATTACTGGAAGAGAGACGCCGAGAGGGACCACCTGCCTACCGCCAAAAACACACTCAAGGGCACCTTCCGGTCTCTCAGGGTCAGCAGGGCGCCCAGCAGTGAGGAGGCCGCGCCCACCATGTCCATGACCACGGTCACCAAGGAGAGCAAGCAGGCGATGTTTCTGCCCAAGAAAACCAGGGACAAAGACGTGGAGCCCGGAAGCCAGTGCATCGAGGGCATCAGCCGCCTGGTCTGCAGGGCCCGGCACCGTCAGAGCCTGCAGCGGGTCGTCATCGACGGCGTGGAGGGGAACGACGTGAAGTTCTTCCAGCTGGCAGCCCGCTGGCCCTCCCACGTCAAGCACTTCCCCATCGGCATCTTCGGACACTCCCCGTCCACCTTCTAGCCCTGCCCTCGCCTGCCGTGGCCGAGCCCAGGAGGGCCCAGGTGCTTTTCTGTTAACGTTTCGGTTTACTACAGAGATGGCCCTGGAGATGCAAAGAGAAACTGTCTTAAGTGCGAATGTCCCACCACCTGAAAACCACAGGGTGGCCTCAGGGCCCCCACTGCTCTGCTCACAGAACGCTCTGGCGGGCGGAGGCCAGGCGGGCGGCAGGGCAGGCGGGCAGTGTTCAGCTGGAGTCACAGAAGGTGTGTTTTGGCCTCAGGACCTTGGATGCCTCCCACGGAAGGGTTCGCTCCTGGGCCACCTGCCCTGCCTGGAAGCCAGGACTCCGTGTCCCCGGGACGTCATCCCCAGGCGTGTGCCCAACTCAGAGCTGGTGGCCAGAGGCCAGGGCTGGCCTCTCGTTGGGGCGTCCTGAGCAGGACACGGAGGCTGGTCAGCCCAGCTCTGGGCCCCAGCTGCCCGCCAGCCACGTGGCCCCAGCACCATCCACTTGGCTTCCCAGTAAACTCCATCCTCACAGGGGAAAAGCCTTTATTTTTCATATACTATTGAGTTAAAATAAAATGTATTTTAAATAAAATGTAATAAAACGGTGTTGAAGAGAAGTGACATGAAATGTAACTGACTGTCGAGTGCTCATTCCAGCAGCCGTGAGCACACTCACAGCCTTTCAGGACTGTCCGTCATCACGACCCCTCTCTAGGTCAGAGCCTGTCACCCCGACAAAGCCAGCCCCCACCTCAGTCCTGCTCACCCTCCGCTCAGCCCCTCACAACCTGGTCTCCGTCCCGGGGTGTCCTGCTGTGGGTGTTCAAGGAACTAAAATCATAGCATATATGGCCTTTTTTGCTGGGTATAAAATCTTTGCAATTTATTTATTCAACAAACAACTAGGTAGTTTCTATGTTTTGGGCTATGTTTGTGGCACTGGGAATGGAGATAAGCCCCAGCCCCAAAGAACTCACAAGTAGTGTGGGGGGCACATAAAAATATGTGAGGTAGCAAAGGGGGCCTCTCTGGGTGGCAAAGACCAGAGGAAACTCATCCCACGGAGGCGTCCGTAGGAAGGAGAAGCCTGACTGAAGGGCATGTTTTGTGAAGAACGTGTGGCTGGTGAGCTACCTCCGTCTGAATCCTCTGAAGCACGCATCAAAAGGCAGGGTCCCAGCATTTTCTGCAACAATGACAATTCAGTGGGTTGGGATCTGGGACCTGGGGATGTGCTTTTGAAAGTCCTCAAGGTCATTCTACTGTGACTTGAAGTTTTGGGGCCGTGCAGGAGACAACCCATCAGGGTGTGTCTCTTGCATCGATGTTTGTCTCTCTTTCTCTCCCCTCTTCCTCCCTTCCACCCTCTTTAAATATCAATGGAAAAAAGTGTCCTTGCGTGAGGGTTACCAACAACAAGAAAAAAGAAGCACCGCATGGTGCTTTGATTTCGTCCAGTGGAGCAGGGAGCACCTGCCCAGGGCAAGGCTGGGAGGAACCCTACGCCGCGCTTCCAATTGGTCCCCCATCGCGTTCTCTGGGGGGTGGGAGGACCTTCCTAGGGCTGGGATCTGGTCCCTCTGCAGGAAAAGCAGACATGGCTGGATATCGCGAAAGCAGCTCCACGTGATGTTCAAGGCTTTGGGGGGTCACAGCGTCCAGACTCAAATTTCTCAGGAAATGAACTGTCAGGACCAGAGGGAGTTCCAGAATTTGCACCAGGAAACAACTCCGTCTGGAGAGAGAGGGGCTGGCACCTTTTCAGGTTATACATACGCTGTCTCCTTCTCACACAGACACACGGTACAACGGAACAGCTCAGAGTGATGGGAATCCAAGCCCATAAAAGAGCTGGGGGACAGGCCCCACCCGTGATGGAGAGGACAACCATCCACAGCCTGTGAGGCCTGGGGACACCCCACTCACCCCAGTCAGCGTCGAAAACCAGATCTCGGGCCGCAGCAGAAAAGGAAAGTCATAGCAAAGACAGCCGACGGTGATGGGGTGTCTGGAGTGGAACCAGCCCGCCCGATGCCCCTGAGCCTGGTGCCATCGGGGGGCGCTACACATCAGATGCGGTTTCCAGAGCTGGAGGGCTCCTTGCGCATTGTTGGCGATCCCAGCAAACTGTGGAGCCCGAAGGGGGACTTGAATCAGTCACTGCACAGCTCTGGCCCGGGAACTGCACCCGGCGGAGATTTCCCTGCTGGGCGTAGCGAGGCGTAGCCGGGCTCTAGTTCATGGCTGTGTTTTCTCCAACCCAATCCGGGAACATGTGCTTTCGCTTTCTTTTCATCTCACACTGGTTAGAAAACAAACATGCAAGTCTGGATGGATCCTCTTCTTACGAAGCAGCTGATTTGTGCACGCTGCACTGGCTCACCCCTCCAGACACACAGCTTCTAAAAGACACGGTTGGAAAAGCAGGGCCACAGCCCCAGTCCAGACACCTTCAGGCCCGTGCCTGCGTGTCGGTGGGCCTGAAACCTACCGGTGCTCCGAAAACCAGCTACCCTCACGGCAATCTGGCGGCATCTGCATGAAGTCTTGGTCCTGAGGGCAGGACCTGGTGGTCCTCGAGTCTAAGCAGGACATCTGGGCTAGGTCTCTGGCCAGCCGTCTGGCACATGGGAAGAGGATGCACAGCCCGCAGCTAACTGTCCCGTCTTCACGCGTGTCCTGCCAGCAGCTGAGGAAGGCGACGAGCTAAGCATCCGGGAGCTGTGCAGGCCGAACGGCCAGGACGGGTGCACGCGAGACAAAGTGTTACGCTGGGTACAATCAAGTCAATGAGCCTGCAGATCCTGGCTGACTCGGGTAGGCCCTCAAGCCCTGACAGAGGAAAGGTCAAGCATGCGGGGAGACCATCGTCAGACTGTGTGTACCGTTTCCTGCCACGCACAGGCCCTGAGGGAGGCCACCGCACTGCCTGGGTTCAGCCCATCGGCTTTGGCTCTTTTTGTCTCCATTTCTCTAGTTGTGGTGGGTACACTTTAACTATTTTAACCTGGAAGGTTCTTGGTATAAAGTGCATTCAGTTGTGCAACCGTTACCACCATCGGTCTCTCAATCTCATCTTGTAAACCAAAACTGAATCCACTGAGCAGTAACTCCTTGCCTGCTCCCCCGGGCCCTGGGAATCATGTCTGTACATCTGTCTCTAGAATTTTACTAATCTAGGCACCCATTAAATTGGAATCATATGGCCCAGCCGGTGTGGCTCAGTGGTTGAGCGTCGACCCATGCACCAAGAGGTCGCCGGTTCGAGTCCCGGTCAGGGCACAAGCCCAGGTTGTGGGCCCATCCCCAGTGAGGGGCGTGCAGGAGGCGGCCAGTCCATGTTCTCTCTCATTGATGTTTCTATCTCTCTCTTCCTCTCCCTTCCTCTCTCTCTAAAACCAACAAAGAAAAATATATATATATATTTTAATTGGAATCATGTTTTTGGTGTCTACCTGCGCTTACTACCCCTCAGTCATGCAAAGTGATGTTAGACAGAGGAAGGTGCCGGCCCGTTCCAGGGCCGTCCTCCCTGCCTGCGAGGGGAGGTGCGATGGTGCTGTCCTCCCCAGCGCCGGGGCTGTGCTGGAGGAGGGGAGTGGACCCCGGGGCCGCCAGCTCCTGCTGCGCCCACCCCTCCAGGCTCACCTGCGCAGGTACCTGCGGGTACAAACCTGTTATCGTCACGTTTCCCAGTCACATGACTGTAGCCGACTCGAGCTTCTTGAACCTCAGTTTCCTCATTTATAAAAGGGGTTGGTGATGTCAGTGGGAAGACCATGGGGTCTTGAGTCAGACGGGCCCGCGTTACACCACCACTTCCACTACCTGGAGGCCGGGCGCCAAGGTGCCCTGAGCGGGGTGGGGGGGTGGGGTGGGGTGGGGGGTGGCAGGGGACTGCAGCACAGAGGGGAGGTCAGCCGCCACCAGCGGCGCGCCACACACACACACACACCCCTGGGTACAGAGGCTCAGTGGTAATCTTTTTTTTATCTTCACCTGAGGACATTTTTGCATTTATCTTCATGTAGAGCAGGAGGGAGAGAGGGCGGAAGAGAGAGAGAGGGAAACATCGATGTGAGAAAGACACATCGACTGGCTGCCACCCACATGACCCATCCAGGGCCGGGGACAAACTGCAACCGAGGTACGTGCCCTTAGCAGGAACCGAATCCGGGACTCTCTGGACCGCGAGCTGACACTCTAACTGCTGAGCTGAACCGGCCGGGGCCCCCCTGTAAGATCTTAAGCCCCCCAGAATGTGGCCCGTCTTCTCCCTGTCTGATCCGGAGGAGGTTCCCTGGACAGTGTCCCCAGCCCAGCCCACCGCGGACTTGGCCCCGGTGGCAGATGCCGTCTGCGGCGGGAGCCTGGCGCGGGGCCCTTCCATCTGCCCCGCAGCCGACCTCTCTCTGTGTCAGGCGCCACTGTGCAAAGCTCGCTGGAGACCCTTCTCTGCCAGAAAGCGTCGTGGTGGATCCCTCTTGACTCATGTCCCTCCTGCCCTCCCCCGGCTGCTGCCACCCCACATCCCACAAGTGCAGGGACCTTGGCCAGGGATTGGGCCTGCGTCTCCACCCCCTTCTCCCCCACACACTGGGACGCGGTCTCCAGGAGCTCCCCAAGGAGAGGATGTCCTCCCTCTGGTTGTCCCGTGGCACCAAGTTCGGGTTCTGTCCAGGAATTACTCAGCTGTGAGCGTCTGCCTGGAAATGGGATCCTTCCGACCTGAGCAGGCTAAGCATGTCCCACGTTTACAGGTGGTTCTGTGGTGGGCAGGATGGCGAGAAGGGGGCCGGCTTGGGACAGCAGCTACTGGGGTCAAGCTTTTCGGTCCATGTCCACCAAAGCCGACGTCCGAACCTGAGACAGGTCTTCCCTGTTGCAGGGCCTTTGCAGGTGCCCCTGACCGGTGGGGATTTAGTAGCTCCCGGCTCTAGTACTGATGGGTGGACAGGCTGTTTATTGCTTTGTCCACTGTCCCGCCAGGGCCACTCACCGGTGAGGAG